GGGGGGGGGGGGTGGGTGGCTACGGCAGATGGGAACCCAGCGGCTGTGCCTGGCCTCCAGCCCCCCCCCCGGGCCTTCACAGGGCCCCTGCCAGACAGCTGCAGAGGAGGGCGGCGGTGCCAGGGCCCCCCCTGCTGGCGGCCGGGGGCTTTGCAACTGCCGCTGGACACAAGCCCGGATCATCATTTGGGGGGGTGGGGGGGTGGGTGGGTGATGTGATGCAAGCAGGGACGGCGCGCCTTCCGCTCCGCCCAGGCAGTGCCCACCTCCCCAGCTGCCACTGTTTCTGGAAGGGACCTTTGAGGTCTTCTAGTCCAAACAAGTGGGACAACTCGCCGCGGTACAAAATGCAGCGTTACAATTCAAGTGTTTAAAATATTTTTTTTAAAAAAAATGATTTTAACTTTTGTCATTCCCATTTCATTCTGTCCCTTCTTTTACATCCTTTCTTTAATGATTCTGTTCCACCGACAATGGTTGGAAACTGACCAAAGAGAGAAGCAACCTGGAATTAAGGAGAAAGTTCCTAACAGTTGGCCAGTGGAACAGCTTGCCACCAGAAATCGTGGGCGCTCCATCCCTGGAGGTTTTTAAGAAGAGACTGGACAGTCACTTGTCTGAGATGGCGTAGGTCCTCCTGCTTGAGCAGGGGGCTGGACTAGAAGACCTCCAAGGTCCCTTCCAACTCTACTTCTATTCTAGTTCTAGTTCTAATTCTAATTAATTCCATTCCATCCCATTGATATTAGCGTAACTTGCTGCCAATTGTTCCCCAATGATTTGGCCATAGCAAGTTGGCCAGGCCAAGATGGCCAGGTGGCGTTGCCCAAGGCCCCAGCTCCTGCTCAAGTAGGAAACCCCAAGCAGGCATCCTCAGGACGAGTCCCCCTCCCCTCCCCTCCCCTCCCTTCGCTAACCCTAACCCTTCGCTGAGCCGGGCCTCCCCGTCCAACCCTCAGACAACGGGGTCCTCATTGTGGGGGGCTGGAATGTGGTGGATCAGAAGCAGAATCAAGGTGCTGCCGGTTCCGCTGCCGATCTCCCCGGTCCCACCTGTGGGCCGGCCCCAGAAACTGGCCCCCCTTCCCAAGACCGGCTACGTCACTGAAGGCCTGTGGAGGTTCTCCATCCTCCAGGCCTCACGGCCGCCCCAAAGGTGCTTTTTTCCCCAAAAGGCAGCTGGACTTTTTTTTGTTTTCTTTGAAAAGGTTTCACTTCCCATCCGAGAAGCTTCTTCAGTTCTTTAGGACTTCCAAAGAAAAACAACGAGGGGGGCCAGGTGCCTTTTGGAAAAGCTGCATTTCCCAAACATCTCGGGAGGCAGAGAGCATCCTGCAGGGAGGGCGCTGAGCCCGAGGGTCCCCAGTGCGAGGCCCGGCCCCATTCCCCTCAGCCCCCCCCTCCTGCAGACTAGGCCTGGGAAGGCAGCAGTTCACGTCCACCCCACCCCACAGGGGTGTGTGTGTGTGTGTGTGTGTGAGGGAGCTGCACCTGTGGAGCACAACAGCCCGAGAGACACAAAAGCAGGCCGCAGCCGCTCTCCCCTCCTGACCCCGGGGCCGGCTGCAGAGCTGCGCCAGCCCAGCTGAGCCGAGAGCGCCTGCCGGGGCCGCTCTGCAGATGACTCAGCCCTTGCGTGACTCACCTGCCAGGCCGGCGCTGGGAACCTCCGGGGCTCGCTGCCCACAAGAGGAAGCGGCACCGGCCCACGGGCGCGTCTGCAAATCCGGCTGCGGCAGCCCAGCTCCTTTGAGCCCTGCAGAGCTGCCCCCCCCTCCCCGTGCGTGCCCGGGCCCTTCCCCCCCTGCCCTTGCCGTGACCTCGTGCGGAAGACCCCCGCAGCCTCCGCTCCGGGGAAGGATCCAAGGGGGGGCCCCCAAATAAACTGGGGTCCCCCTCAGGGAAGGCGGAGCAGCAGCTGCCGGCAGAAACAGCGGCCACAACAGAGGGGCCCGACCTGCAGCCGGACAGATCCGGCCCTCGGGAGACCCTCCGGGGAAGCCGGCCCAGGCAGAAGCCAGGGGGGTCCCCGAGGGGCAGGGAGCCCCCCTCCAAAAGCCACCAGGAGCAGGAGCAAAGGGGCAGGCTGGCAGGGAGAGGCCGGAAGCTTGTGCCCTTTCCCCCATCCTGGGCACCGCTGCACGTGTGAATTGCAGCTCCCACAATTCCCCAGCTAGTGTGGAGCTAGAGGAGGATGCTGGGACTTGAAGTCCGCGTGCCCAGAGGCGGGCCCAGGGCGGGAAAGGCTGGTCTGTTGCCCCCAACGATGCTGCGGTGTCCCTGGGGAGGGGGTGAAGAAGGGCCAGGCAGGGGGCCTGAGTGCTGGAGCCCCCAGGAGGTGGCTGCTCCGGAGGGGGGTAGGGGGCCGGGGGAGGCCGTTCCAAGGCTCACACGGCTCCTCGGAATCCCGCAAGGGGGGGTCTCTCTCCTTTCCACTCCTCCCCTCAGCGACCATCACTCCTCCGGGGGGGGGGAGCTGAAAGCAGCCCTGGCAGCCAGACGGGGCCACGAAAGGCAACCTCCACAAGCAGAATGGGGGAGGGGGGGAGATGAGAATGTGGCTCCAGTGGGGTCTGTGGGCACCGGACGACCCTCTGCACGAGACCCAGAGCCCGGCTGTTCCCATGCTGACAGCTGAACCACCTTGAGAGGGGAAACTCCCAGACCACGTAAAATCATGAGTGAGTGCCGTCAGGGGTCAGGAGGAGGCCAGGGGAAGCTTCTAGTCCTCATGAAAGTGTGGGAAGGTGTAATCTGGGGGCCCGTGTGTGTGTGTGTGTGTGTGGAAGGGGGGAAGGGAGAGACTATTGGGCAAGGCTGCCCTGTCATCTCCCCCGGAAAATGAACTGGCTCTGGATGGGCCTTGCCCCAAGCATAACCCCCCACCCCCCGTAGCACCTCCACCCCACCCCCACCCCCAACAGTGACAAGCCTTCCTTGCCATGTCTGGAAACCCTCCGTGGGAGCCTCACTGGGCCTTGTGAGTGACAGCGGAAGGTCACACGGGGGTAGGAGGGGGGCAGGGGGGCGCTGCCGAGAGGCTGGGGGGGTGCAGGAGAAGGGACTCTGGCCTGCGTGGGGGGGGGACTTCCCTGACAGCCCTTCCGTTCCCAGCCAGGGCTCCAGCAGGGCATTGCGTGCCGTGTGTCACGTCCCCAGCCGGGGGGGGGGACGGGCATGTGGTTTCTGCCTCTAGCCCCCCCTCGCAGGCTGGCACCCGCGGCTTCCTCCTTTCGGAAACTCACAGCTGGAAACTGAAACAGCGCAAGTCAAAATAAAGCTACGGGGCGGTTTTGGTGACCCAGGTCAAGTCGGCTCCCAGGGGAACTGGCACGCAGCCGCTCTGGGGAGGGGGGGGCAGCCTCCTCCAGCCCTGGCAGGGCTTCCGGGGACACCCAGGGGCGCCTGGCCTGCTCCCCTAGCTCAGAGCCCCCCCCTCATCTCAGCAAAGAATCAGCCCCACGTGCAGAGAAGCTTCCTCTTGGGCTTGGATCTTGGGGGGGGGAAGATTACTCCAGTGGGACCCACAAGCTTCCACCAATTCCCCCAACCACCCTGGGGCCTCCCCTTCTTCACGCCGCCCCATTTGCAACACCCCCTACTCAGCAAAGATGAGAGCAGCAAACCTGGGAGATGATGCATGGACGGGTGCTCACTAACCATGGTTTGTTGACTAAACCACCAAGGGCCGGGCTCCCCCAACTTTCTCACATTATCCCGGAAGTGGGCAGCCGTGTGCCATTTTGAGGGATGTTGCAGGCCCCCCCAAAGGGTGGGGTTTTTTTATATACACACACTAAGCTTTTTAAGCAGGGGCGTCCGAGCGTGGCCACTCAAAGGCCTGTGGCTGGGGGAAGCCGGCTGGGGAATTCTGGGAGTCAAAGTCCGCAGGCCTTCAAGTAGCCAAGCCTGGACAGCCCTGCTTTAAACTTTCAAGATGTCAAAACTGTTGTGGCACGGTATAGGGCAGGGGTAGGCAACCTCGGCTCTTTTATGACTCATGGACTTCAACTCCCAAAATTCCTGAGCCAGCATGGGGGAACTATGGCCCCCTTCATGACTCGCGGACTTCAACTCCCAGAATTCCTCAGCCAGCATGGCTCAGCTTGGAAACCTCTCCCTTTCCCCTCAGCATGGCTGGCTCAGGAATTCTGGGAGTTGAAGTCCACCAGTCATAAAAGAGCCAAGGTTGCCCACCCCTGGTATAGAGTTTCCTGCCTGAGCAGGGGGTTGGACTAGATGACCTCCAAGGTCCCTTCCAACTTTATCATCATCATCATCATCATCATCATCATCATCATCATCATCATCATCAAGTCTTACAACTATTTTCAAGAAAGGCTACTTATTTCAATTATTGCATTTTCAAAGTTTTCACCACCACCCCGACCTTGCAGCCCAGAGCATCCCTCCCCAGGCAGAGGCCGGCCGGCCAGCTTTTGGCACAGGAGGGGCGGGGCCTGACAGAGTGGCACCCAGGCAGGGCTGGCAAGGAGGCCCCCCCCACCACTACCTTCTACCCAGCCCACTCCCCCAACCCAAAGCCTGGGCTTCCCCCCATAGCAAGCCGAGCAGCGCCCCCTTGTGGCCGCCCAGAGCACCGCACCCCCTCCGGGGCTCACCTCGCTGGGGCTGAGGCCGCCCAGGCCGCTATCCTGCCCGGAGTCCCGGCTGGAGTCGTGGCCCTGGCCGGAGCGCGGGTGAGAGGGGTGGATCCAGAGCTCCAGGCGGGTGGCATCGTCTCCGGAGGGCCGGAAGGCCGCCCTCCTGCTTCGCTGGCTGCCCTGGCCCCGGGGGCTCTTCTGCTCCAGCTGCTCTGCCTGCGGGGGAAGGGGGGAGAGGGCCATGAGGAGCTGGTGGGGGGGGCTGGGTGGGCCGGGCCGGCCGCCCCGCTTACCGACCTTGCGCTTGGTCTCCTCGAAGAGGCTGGTCAAGCTCTCCTTGGCCGTCAGGATGGGGTTGCTGGCGGCCAGGCTACGCATGTAGTAGTAGACGGCGTCCAGCTTCCTCCTCTGCGGGGACAGAGAGAGACGGGCGGACGGCGTCAGAGGGGGGACAGCCAGACATGACTCCCCCCCTCCCCGATGCAGCCATGGGACGACGGTCAAGCAGAGGCAGTCCTCAACTTACAACAGTTTGTTTAGCGACCATTTGAAGTTACAGCAGCACTGAAAAAAGGGACTTGTGACCGTTTCTCAGACTTACAACCGTTTCAGCTTCCCCCCCCCGGTCACGTGGTTAATGCTCGGATCTCTGACAAGTGGGTCATACATGTAACGGTCGCAGCCTCCGGGCGTGTCACGCTGTCCCCTTTTGCGACCTTCTGACCAGCAAAGTCAGTGGGGGAAGCCGGACTCACTTAACGACCGTATGACTAATTTAACAAGGGCAGTGATTCACTTAACAAGAAGTGGGAGGAAGAGCCCTAAGAGGCTTTTAGGAAGAGGCTGGGCAGCCCCTTGTCTGAGACGGTACGGGTCCTCCTGCTCAAGCAGGGGGCTGGACTAGAAGACCTCCAAGGTTCCTTCCAGCTCTATCCTGTTCTAAAATGGGGCAAAACCTGCTTAACCAACGTCTCACTTAGCAACATAAATTTTGGGCTCAACTGTGGTCGTATGTCGAGGACTACCTGTACCCCGAGTCGGGGACTGAGCCCCCTCCCGCCACCCCGCCTGCTGGAGGGAAAGGACCGGCTCTGGCCGAGCCCCCCTTGCAGGTGCTGAAAGGGGACCCCCCCACCCCGACACAGCAGGCCCTGGCCTGGGACCCAAAGGCAGCCTGGCACCGATGGCCCTGGCCTCTGAGGGGAGCCTGCTGCTCCCCCAGCCTCCCGCCAGTCCCGCCTCCCCCCGTGGGCCGGCTGAAGAGGGCCGTGGCCAGAGGAGGAGGGTGGGGCGCGCAGAGCCGGGCCGGAGCCTCCCTCTCACCGTGTAGACGGCCAGGAGGGCCAGCTGGTTGTACGGGCGGCCGTTCTTGGGGGCCACGTGCTGGGCCTTCAGGTACCAGCTGGGGAGAGAGAAGAGGGCCAGTGAGCGGATGGCAGGAGCCACGGAATAGCCGGGTCGGGGGGGGGGGCACGCTCAGCGCAGGCACTGCTGGAGCCCCCCGAGGAGGGAGGGAGGGAGGGAGGGGGTAACGAGAGGGTCCGTCCTTTCCTCAGCCCCAGGGGCTGCCCGAGGCTTGGGCTCTGCCCGCTGGCCCCCCTCAGGGGCAGGAGGGCTTCCCAAGGCCCCAGTCCTTGGCCCCCAGGCCCCCCTCCCTGAGGACTCTGACCCGGGAAGAGCCCCCGACAGGCGCTGGCAGGGTGCCCCCTCCCTCGCTCTCTGTGTCCTGAGGGGCCCTCAAGGCCTTCCTCCTGCACAGCGGTCAATGCTCAAGACAGGGAGGGACAGGCTAAGACAGAAGCCGAGCAGGTGGTGTCTTGGCAGGTGGTGGTGGGGGGGGAGAGCAACCGAAAGCCCCCCCCCCTCTCAGGTTCCAGGACTGTACAACTTTTACGTCCCTTTGGGGGGGGGGGATGAGCCGAGACCAGGCTGGGAGGGGGGGAGCATTTCTGCCCAGCTGCAGCAGTTTTCAGCCCTGCTCAGTGCAAAGGGGCCCTTTCAACCTTCCTCCCGAGGGGGGGGGGTTCTCCCACTCGGGATGGGGGGGCTCCATCCCCACTCCGGCTGGTGCACCAGTTATGGCCCAGCTGGCCTGGGAGGGCCTGGGGCGGAGACTCCGGCCTGCTCATCATCCTCTCGCAAGGCGCTCCCTACGGAGACCCTGGCGCCATGGCATTAAGGCGCCGCGAAGGTGCCTACAGGTGAGCTTTGTTTAACGGCCGTTCCGAATAAAACGACGTAGCGATCCGTCCTCGGCCCACCGTGCCCCTCACGGACCCCACCCCGCTGCCCCCTGGCCTACCTGCGTGCCTTCCCGTAGTTGGCCGTGTCGCTGCCTTGTTCGCGGTACCTGCAGATGTCGCCCTGGCATATCAGGCTCCGCTGGGCGCTGATGAGGGCGTACTTCACCTGGGGAGGGGAGCGCAGGGAGGCGGCTGGAGAGGGGGCGGCCGGAGACCCCCCTCCCTGCCCCTTCTCAGGGCAAGGCCAGGCCTGTCACCCCGGAGGGCGAGGGGCTGCCCTAAGCGCAGGGGTAGGCCACCTCGGCTCTTTTATGACTCATGGACTTCAACTCCCAGAATTCCTGAGCCAGCTTTGCTGACTCAGGAATTCTGGGAGTTGAAGTCCATGAGTCATAAAAGAGCCGAGGTGGCCTACCCCTTGCCCTATGGGAAAGCTCCCCAGCGCTCCCAGAGTCTGGCCCCGGCCACCGTGGGATCCTCAGGGGTGCCCCGAACCTTCCTCCCCCCCCGTGAACCGCCTGCTGGCCCCCCCCCGTTCCGCCTCACCGTCTTCCGCAGGGGCTTGGTGCGAACCGCCATGCTGTCCATGTAGTCCTCCAGCTTGAACTGGTAGGTGGCCTGCAGCTTCTGCAGCAAGCCGTCGAAGAAGACGGTGCCCTGGGGGGGGGGAGAGAAAGCGGCAGTCACGGAAGGACAGAGGTGGGAAGGGACCTCGGAGGTCCTCTAGTCCAACCCCCTGCTTGAGCAGGAGACGCTCCAGCAATCGGGACAAGTCCAGTCTCTTCTTGAAGACCTCCAGTGCTGGAGCAGCCAGGACTTCTGGTGGCCAGCTGTTCCACTGGTTAATTGTCCTCACTGCCAGGAAGTTTCTCCTGAGTTCCAGGTTGCTCCTGTCCTTGAGCAGAGGGCGAGGGCAACAGGCAGGAGCCTTGGGGGGAGGCGGAAAAGCCCACCCCCCCTGGGGATAAGGGGGGAGAGCTTCAGATCCTCCAAACAGTTTCCCCTAACCCCCCCCCCCCTAACAGGACAGCAAGAGGCCTGACAGGAGGCCAGGATGGCGAACCTTTTAGAGACTGAGTGCCCAAACCGCAACCCCAAACCCACTTATTTATCACCGGGTGCCGGGTGGGCGTGGTGCATTGGGTGGCCGTGGTCATGGCAGACTGGGTGGGTGTGGCCAAGGTGGGCATGGTCACCTCGATGTTGCTCGTGGGAAGGGATGCCTGTACGAGCCGGGCAGGGTTGGGGGAGATCCAGGGGGTCTCTGGCAGGTGGGACGGTGGGCAGGAGGCTCGTCCTGCAAGGCAAGGCGAGGCAGGGCGGGGGTGCCATTGTCACAGGGGCAAGGTGTGGCAGGGGCTGGGGTGGCTGCTACCTGACACCATCGGCCCCCGCACACAGAGGCCAGCGAGCGCATGGGGGCCGACAGTGTCTGTCAGCAGCCACAGCCTGCCGGCCCCTCGACTGGTGCACTCTGGGGCTCCGCAGCCCGCCTCCAGCCGTTCAGAGAAGCCGCCTCTGAGCTGGCCGACAGCTGAGGAGGCGATGCAGTGGGTCGTGCCCGGGAAAAGGAGAGCATGCGAGGCCAGGAGGGATGGGATGGGGGGGAGGGAAACCAGCCATGCTGGGATGCCTCCGGCCACGTGGGACCTTGGCGAGTTAGCGGGCGGCTGGTTGAAGAGGGACGGTTGCCATCTTCAGGGCAAGGTGTGCGTGCCCACAGAGAGGGCTCTGAGTGCCGCCTCTGGCACGCGTCCCATAGGTTCGCCACCACTGTCCTAGGTCTTCCTGGGTCCTCCTGGGGACGTATCGCCCGTGCTCTCTTCACAGGACCCTGCAGAGCTTTGGGCTGGAAGACCCCCAAAAGACCCCAGGCACCAGGGGCACCAACGCAGCAGCCCCTGCTTGCCCTGCTCGAAAGAGCTCCGGAGAAATAGTGGGAAAAGGGGAGAGGCCCAAGCCGGCCCTCCCCAGTGCCCACGGACATTCATCACGCAAATGGGGGACAGATGGAAGTGGCCGGAGGGGGGGGGCTTCGTCTTGCAGCAGGCCGGGGAGGGGAGGGGGGACGTTCTTCTGGCTGGGCCTGAGGGTGGACACCCCTTCCTCCCCACTTAAGGAGGCGGGGGCCTTCATCCAAACCGCTCAGTTGACCTTTGGCCTTTGCACCTCAAAGGGTGCCAGGCCAGCTGCTGCGGCTGCCCTGATCCAGCCCTGAAAATGTCTGCAGATTTTCTGGTTCAGCTTTTGGTTACAGATGGACTCCCTTCCCAGGCAGATCTGCAGCCCTGGGGAGCCCTTCGATCTGCCTCTTGGGCCAGCCGCCTCACACGCAGCCCTCGGCTTACGACCACGACTGGGGTCAAAAGCTCTGTTGCTAAGCAAGGCAGTTGAGTGTCACGGCTGACTTTATCACCTTTTGGCCCTGCTGGCTAAGCGAAGCAGGACAGGTGTAAAATGAAAAGCAAATCTTTTAATCTCTTATTGCTGTATTTTTGCTGCTTAGTTGTCTTATTTCAGGGGTGGGGAACCTTGGCTCTTTTATGACTGGTGGACTTCAACTCCCAGCATTCCTGAGCCAGCCATGCTGAGGGGAAAGGGAGAGGTTTCCAAGCCGAGCCATGCTGGCTCAGGAATTCTGGGAGTTGAAGTCCACCAGTCATGAAGCGGCCATAGTTCCCCCATGCTGGCTGAGGAATTCTGGGAGTTGAAGTCCACGAGTCATGAAGGGGACCATAGTTCCCCCATGCTGGCTCAGGAATTCTGGGAGTTGAAGTCCACCAGTCATGAGGGGGCCATAGTTCCCCCATGCTGGCTGAGGAATTCTGGGAGTTGAAGTCCACGAGTCATGAAGGGGACCATAGTTCCCCACCCCTGGTCTATTTTATTGCTTCGTTGTTTTGCTACTGTTATCTCACGCTTCCTTTTGTTTCTTCGTTTTTATTGTTGTAAGCCACCTGGGGGAGCCCCAGGGCGAGGTAGGCGGCAAATAATTTTAATAAATAAATGAATAAATGAAATAGAACAAAACAGTAAAATAAAAATAAATAAATAAAATACAATAATAAGAAACACATAAAATACAATAATAAAAAAGAAAACAAATCCAGCTTTCCCAACGGACTTGCCTTGCCGGAAGGCGGCTGGGAATTTGGCAAGCGGGGGTCCCATGACCCGGGAGACGTGGCAACCGTCCTGAACAGTTGCTGCCTTTTTCCGTAGGCCGCCTAGAGTCCCCGTGTGTAGGTGACAACATGAATTTTCCAAAATAAATAAATAAAACGCCAGTTGCCCAGCATCCAAATTCTGACCATGTGACTGTGGAGGTGCTGCAACTGTTGTAAGTGCGAGGACTGCCTATAAGTCACTTTCTTCACCTTTGCTCTAACTCTGATCGGTGGCTAAAGGGACGGTCGTGAGCCGAGGACTGCCTGCACACTGTCCCCTTCGGCTGGGATAGGGAAAGGAAGGGAGCCGCGTTCTTTCCAAGGAAGAGCCGCCTCCTGGAATCTAGAGTCGGAAGAGAGCTGGAAGGGACCTCGGAGGTCTTCTAGTCCAGCCCCTCTGCTCAAGCCAGGAGGCCCTACAGCACTGGCCTCCATCCTTTTGGGCACCAGGGACCAAGTCTGTGGACGGAGGTTTTTCTGTGGACCGGAGAGGGCCTGGTTTCACGTGCTGCCTGGGGCTTTGCTTGCTTGTGACGCCCAGTTGCTGGCATGCCACAGCCTGGTACCAGTCCATGGAACTGGGGGTTGGGGACCCCTGCCCTACACCATTCCAGACAGAGGCTTGTCCAGCCTCTGATATGAAGCACCCGCTGATATGGTGACCTCTGGAGGGAAGAAGCCCTCGTGTTCCGCTGGCTGTCCCAGGAGAGCAGCTCCCTTCTGGCCCCCACCCCTCCCGCCTTCCGGCCCACCCGCCCGGGGTGCCCCGAGACCCCTGCCTCACCTCGTCCAGGATCTGGAGCAGCTTTCCGCGGATCTCCTGGGCGCTCTCCCCGCCCGCTGGGTCCTTGAGCAGCTGTCGGAACTTCTCGATCACCTGGTAGAAGGCGTTCTTCCAGAGCAGCTGGTCCACGTTCTGCGCATCGGCCACTTCGATGTCGGTCAGCAGGCAGAGCTCGTACAGCTGCAGCATCTCCGCCCTGCAACGGGACGCCCGTCACCCGCCGGTCAGCCGGGGCTTTGGTGCTGCTCCCCCCCCAATTCCCACCGAGGGGACGCCAGGCGGCTCACGTCAAAAAACAAAAAACACCCCATCGTATATATAAGGTAGTCCTCAACTTATACGACAGTTCATTTAGCGACCATTGGAAGTTACAGGACTTTTTTCAGGCGCCGTTGGATCCAGACACGGATGGATTTTTTAAAAACATGTTATCAGGGGCTTTTCTCGGATGGGACGACCACAGAATGGCGCCTCGTTTCTGGACGGTGCCACATTAACCTGGACCAGTTTAGGCTGCCGTCTGCGGCTCAAGTCCAGCCAGCCCAGCCTGACGCCCCACAGCTCCCTGCCTGACCACACACATTCCTTGACTTACAACGGTTCATTTAGTGACTTCAAATTACAACAGCCCTGGAAAAAGGGACTTTCGATCACCTGTCCTGTCACGTAATGAAATTTTGGCTGCTTGGCAACTGGCCTCTGTCTGTCTGTCTGTCTGTCTGTCTGTCTGTCTATCCATCCATCCATCCATCCATCCATCCATCCATCCATCCATCTATCTATCTATCTATCTATCTATCTATCTATCTATCTATCTATCTATCTCTGTCTGTCCGTCCATTCATCTATCTATCCATCCATCATCTATCTATCTATCTATCTATCTATCTATCTATCTATCTATCTATCTATCTATCTATCTATCTATCTATCTATCTATCTATCTATCTATCATCTATCTCTGTCCGTCCGTCCATCTATCCATCCATCATCTCTCTCTCTCTCTCTCTCTCTCTGTCCGTCCATCCATCATCTATCTATCTATCTATCTATCTATCTATCTATCTATCTATCTATCTATCTATCTATCTATCTATCTATCTATCTATCTATCTATCTATCTATCTATCTATCTCTGTCCGTCCATTCATCTATCTATCTATCCATCCATCATCTATCTATCTATCTATCTATCTATCTATCTATCTATCT